TCGGCAAGAGTCCGCCTCGCTGACTGCAGAAGTGTGGGGAAGTCCGTCCAGTGCTGCGGCAGGAAACGGAGGCACCATCGCCGGGCCCTTTGGCGAGCGCCAGTCCGCGCATGGAAGGTGCTGGCACCCGCTCCCTCCTGTCTCTGGTGGCTGGCGAGTGTCAAATGGCGGAGTAGATTTCCTGGGGGTAGCGGTGGACGAGCTGGGTGTCGTGGGAGTGCTTGGAGCGCCATTCTCCATGACCCCCAGCAGTCGGGGCAAAGTGATGTAGCGTCCGTCGCGTCCACCCGGTAGCTTCGGCTGGCCCCGCGGTTCCAGGAGCACTGACCAGTGAGGTGGATTGTGCATCCGCAGCTGCGGCACACAGGCCCTCCGCAACTGCGCTGGCAGAAAGGGCACGCACGAGGCGGGGAAGCAGGCGGGAGCTGAGTACCACCACACGTCCAGCAGCAGGAAATGGCATTCGGAGGAGCGAGGTCACAGGTGCATGGCATCCGCAACGCGGATTGCATATCATCAAAGGAAGGCCATTCATCTGACCAGTTGGGTTGCCCTCGCTGTGTGATAGGGACCAGGTGAGAGGCGGCACAGACACGGATGTTTTGGGGTGAGAGCCTACATGCCGGAACCTCAGCTTTGATACGTGCGGTTAGCACCGACAGAGTTGGGGCCATCCATCGCAGTTCGCGGGCAGCGGTGCGACCCCTGGCAGTATCGAACCAAGCGTCCAGCATGGAGGGTAGTCTGTGGACGCCTCCGTCTGGTTGTGCGGGCGGTGCTCCGGCTGGCATCCGGAGTTGCTCCATGATGAGGTGGAGGTGTTTCCAGGCAGTGATGCGGCGGGCGTATTCCACCCGAATGCGCCTCAGCCCCAGGAGAAGGAGGGAGACGCATTGAATCGCGGGCCTGATGCGGTCATACCGAAGTTGTTGGAGCTCGGCTTCCCGCCGAGTTTGCTCGGACTGTCTCCAGACTGCATACTCTTCAAGGTCCGCGGACAGTGCCGATGCTTCGTTAGACGTCTGATTACCACATAACGCTTTGCCCAGAGCCAGAGGCAGTGTAGCACGGTGTCCCATGTCCCACCCGTGCTCCCGGGAGACCGCGACAGCGCTATGACCACCTACATCTTGGCTGAGCTGGGCCTCTCTGCCCGGCAATGGCAGGAGCCAACGCCAAGCTGCAAGCAGGGGCCACTTGTTTGTGTCCTGGGCGCACGGCTCCGGGATGAGATGTCCTTGTCCTCTCAGTTCGCACCCCCGTCGCCATTGCGCGGCATCATGTAGGAGTGTGTCTCGCTCCACTAACTGGCCCAGAAAGGAGTCCATGTCCGAGCGTAGGAGATCAGAAAGGTGGCGTGTACCCGCACATGTCATCACAGTGTGACGGGGGGTGCCCGCCCCCCGGTTGCAAATAGGACAATTCCTTACCGACTCAATTTGGTTAGTTTCGGCCCAGTGCGAGGCCAACCGAAGCAGGTCAGGGTCAGACTTGAGACTCTCCGTCCAGGAGCCCCCCACAGCACGTACACAACGATACAAAAATCTTGATAAATCCACCTCGGTCGCGACATCTGTGGATAAAAGCCAGTGCTGCCAGGGTTGTGGTACGCGAGTTTGTGTGAACTGCCGCATGTCAAGTGATGGGCCGAACAATTCGTGTTCTTGCACCGCTACATGTCCCTGTACCTTTCTCCGCGTCCACTGAGCAGTAGCCTGTGTTCGCAGTAGTTTTCGGACCACCTGTCGGATGGGACTGCCAACGGCCCTACCGTCCACGACCATGAAGGCAAAGAGCCCACCGGTAGGATACTTGACGTCTGGGGGGAGCGTCTTGCTGCGTCCAAGTGCGCATCCTGCGTCCTGTTGTTCGTTACCACGGGTGATGACCGGGTGTGGGATATTGCTATGCACTTGGTGGGATTTGATATCCGCTACGACCAGTCCTGCGGTGCAGTGAGTGGTCTTGCACATCCACTTGTTATGCAACTTGCAATTCCAGATCTCAGGACGGGTTTCTTGTTGGAGTCTCCAAGAAGGCTTGGGC